CTATGGTCAGGTGAGCTGTCCGGGTCTGTACCTATGGTCAGGTGAGCCGTCCGGGTCTGCTGCTGCCGCCCGCTGTAGAAGTGCAGGTGGAAGATCCTCTCGGCTCTCCAGTGGGACAGCAGCCGGGGGTCGGTGCCGAAGAGGACGCCGATCCTGCCGGGGACGCCGCACAGCCACACGGGCAGGAGGGGGGTGCGCAGCGCGGGGCTCACCTGGGCAGGGCAGGGCAGGGCATCCCTGTGAGCCCGAGCCGGAGCCGCGGTCCCTCTGCCCCGGCCTCGCTCTCACCTCTCTCTCGGCCGCCCGCTCCCAGCGCAGGAATCCCACGGGGCCCCGCTGCCCCCGGGCCTCCCCGGTCCCACCGCCGAGCTCCCGGGGGCTCGCCCGTCCCGTCAGCAGGAGGCTGAGCAGGGCCTGCGGGGACACAGCCCGTGGTCACCCCGTGGGGACCGGGACAGACACCCTTTGCAGGTGGGGTCCCACTCCCAGCTCTGCCCTGCCTGCCATGAGCAGGGGAACGCCAGGCTGCAGGTGGCTTTTTGTTATTATTGTTGTTATCGTCATCATCATCATCATCATCATCATCATCATCATCATTGTCTGTTTTTTGCATGCACAGCCATGATTAAAATTTGCAAAATATTTTTGTATGACCTTATGCTTTTTTTCCTCTGGATTAAAAAGAGAGAATTTTTTTCCTAAATCAAATGTGGGAAGCATTTGGTTGTGGACTGTAGCTGATCCTACCTCTGTGCAGGTGACATTTCCAGAGCTGACGTTCAGCAGAGGAGCTGTGTCACCCAAATCCTCTTGGACCCTGCATGGCCAAACACAGAACGTCAGGGCAGTGCCAGTGCTGGAAGGGACACTGCACGTCCCTGCCTGGCTGATGGGAAAGGGAGGAAAGGAAAAACCATTTCAGAAGATGTAACCAAACTAGAGGAAAATATTTAAAAAGTGAAATATACCTTTCAAGTGTCCTAGAGAAAAGTAAACTGTATAAAAATAGGATCACTCCATGGCTTCCTTCACACCTGAACTGGAAAAAGAAATAAAGGATCACAGGGAAGGAATTATGGCCAGTAAATCATGTTTAATTAAAACAATTAATCTGCTTCAATACAGCCTTAGGTGAGTGTGTTGAGCCAGATGTTATTCCAGGAAGATTTTGTAACTAATTTTGTTGAATAGGATCAGGTAAAAAAAGAAACTTCCAGTTATTGGCTAAATGGGTTTTGTACATTTTTTCCCCAGATTTTTGCTGAGACTGCAAGGAATCACATCTTGTATTTCAGTGAAATACAAAATGCTGTCCCATTTACCCAGTGTTTGTGGGATGAGAGAGCTGGAACAGTGGCTGAAGTCCCAGGGATTTTAGTGGGAGCAGGATCTCTTCCCAAAAGAAGATCCATGGACTTCACTGTATGTTAACACCACATCCTGCTGATGGTGGCACTTGCCTTTAAAAGGTCTGATTTGAATGGGAAGTAAGATGTAATTCAGCAAGAAAATAACTTGGATAGAGCAAATATCCCCACTTACACAGTTTACATGGTGGGAGATGAACTCCTGAGCTGCAGCTTTCTCTGAGAACTCAAAGAGCCGGATCTGTGGGCACAAGCACGGGGAAGGTGTAAAGGAGATGTGAGTTATATAAAACAGCTGAGCTTTTGAATCCTGTGCTTCCTTTAGCCCAGTGAAAGAGCAGTGCAGGGCTCTGCTCTGCCCCTTGCCCAGCCCCAGGCTCTGGCTCTGTCGGGGAGTTGGGAGCAGTTTCACATTAACTGGATTCTTGTTTTTGCAGGGGGAGGAAGGTCGGCCTTTGATGAAGGGGAGCAGCAGCTCCTGCTGTGACCTGGGTGTGTCTGGGGCTGTGGTGGGACCTGGGTCTGGGGAGCTCACCACTCTGGTGCCCCATAAGTGAGGGAGCAGCTTTGGGAGATCCTACATTTCAGGTCCAAGGTGTCTTTAAGGAAAGCCCCATTGACAGCAGACGTTTCCGTACTCACTCTGTCCCTGAAGGCATCTGCTCTGCAGCCTGTGTGTGGCATCACGGTGCCAGCCGTGGTGGTGAGGCAGACGATGGCTCTGCCACCTCCTCCTGCTGCCCACAGGGTCTGTGCCAGGGCCACGGCCAGTGCCTGCCCCTGCTCCCGCTGCCCGACCCGGCACAGCCTGTGCAGGAACACGGGGGCTGTGACACACCAGGGGCTGTGTCACACCAGGGGCTGTGCCCATGGCACCAGGGG